GTGAATTTGGTCATCTCTTAAGATATATTTCTAGATGTGAAATTACTCTATCATATTTATTAACTTTTGATATATAGTCAACTCTGCATCCATGGGCTTCCCATCAGTGGGTTCATCCAACCACAGATTGGAAGTTTACAACAATTGTATCTGTACTAAATAATTATAGGCTTTTTGTCACCATTCCCTCAAGATAGACTATAACAATAATTTGTAGCACTTACATTGTATTAGGTATTGTAAGTAATCTACAGATGACTTAAAGTATATAAGAAAATATATATATAGGTTATATGCAAATTCTATGTCACTTTATATAAGGTATTGCTCATCCATGGATTTTGATATCCATCGGGGATTTGGGGAATCAGTCCTACATAGATACTAAAGAACTCTGGTCCTGCCAAACTGCTTTCTGCTATGTGAACTAAATTATATTTTCACCAACCCATGAGTACCTGTTCCCCCACACATTAATATGAATGTAATAAGAAGAATCTTTATTTCTTAATTACATCTAAATTTACTTGATAACTGGTTTCATTTGCTTTGATAAGGTTATCATGAGAATGCTTCTCTTTTGGTTGCATTTGTGAGATTAGATCAATTTTTTTCACTTTTTAGTTTATTTAGGCATTACTTATACTCTGTTTTATTCACTTTGGGGCTATAGAATATTTTAACACATATTTTAAGCATATACACCCTAAAAGTACTAAATAGAGACTAAGGCAAGCCCCTATAAGGCTCAGTACTCCATAAACATGTTTTACAAGAAAAAGTTGCTTCCAAAACCAGTGGCTTTAGACCTGATGGCACCTCAATAATCTTCATTACACTAGAACTACTCTGCGTACATCCACATTTGCCTCCCTTATTTCCGTCAACCTTAATCATTGTCGATTAACAGAAAAGGACAAATGGGGAGGAGACAGGGCAGAGTGCACTCGAGTGAAAAAATGAAGCATGGGAAGCCAACTTTGGGTCAGACAATTTCCTGTGCCTTTGGACCAAGAACTCTTTCAGTGCCATCTACAGTGGTATAAGGACATGTACCACTGGTTAGTCCTCTAACAAATATGTAAAGTTACATGCTTTAAATTCAGGAGACAGACAGACAGATAGATAGATAGATAGATAGATAGATAGATAGATAGATAGATAGATAGTGATATGTATGAGCAAAGTTATATTTGCACAGCCTGCATAAGAAGGTTACCCAAGAAAAATGTTGGGAATGCTCAAAGGGGTGGAACAATACTGGGCCCTCACTACCCTAATGTGGGACCGACCCCGAAGGCTTTCCAACGATAAGTGACTTATTTAATAACACACTAAAACCCCAACCCAGAATATTAATGGCCTATCACAACCCAGGTAAAAAAATAGTGACATGTTTGAACTGTTCCTTTTGGGGTTCTGATGCCCTTTCTTTTACCTTTCACATCCACAATCTCTTTTAACTCTCCCAACAAACTTTTGAGGTAGAGTCTATCATTTTTCTCACTCTACAGATGAATGAACTGAAGCTCAGACCACTGAGGTAAAGCCAGAACTTGAATCTATGTTCACTAATTCCAATCTCATTCCTTTTTCCCAATAACTACCTGGATCAATCACTCCTAGTACCTTACTCCTACTATACATTTTTGAGCAAAAGCTCAAACAAGACACTAGGGGTGGCCAGCCTTCTTCCTACCTAACCAAAAAAGAAAGGAAATGAATTGAGGTGACAATATCTACAGTCGCTTTGGAGGTCTGAAGTCAAAAGGGTCCCATGTGATTCCCATCATAGAAGGACAGAATCTAATCCTTAGATTTCTGAGAGCTGTTGAGCAGTCAACACCTTTTAAACAAATTAAATATAAATGTGTAACACTCCACCTGCTTATTCCTGGAAAATCCCATGCCAGACCTGAATGGTTTAGGGTGAGCTACGTAGTAGCCCTGGGGATCACACAGGACACAGGATGCTAATGCAAGACTCCAATCATTTGTTCTTCCCCTTTCCTTACCAGCTTTCCACTAGGAGGCTCTGAGGTCACAACTACCATATGTTGCTGAGGACAAGTAAGTTAGGGCCTGAGCTTCTCCAGAAGCCTCCCTCATCCCGTCACACCCACTGTGCTCTCTCTCTAATAACCATGTTGTATTCACATCTACTGCTTCTGGTGGCCCATCTGGCTGGGCAGTAGGGCTATGAGGGGAACAGACACTGAGACACAGATCATCTGGTGCTAAGTGTTTGTCGAAGCTGAGGAGAGTCTGGTATGCTGGTTTGAGGGTTGCTGTCTGAACATCGTAGCAATGAAAAAATTAAAGAAAGAAGCCATTTTGAGATGTTCTCTGAGGTGGATGAGCTGTCATCCCATACAGTCCCATATTCTGCCAAATGCTCTGCCATCAACAAGGGCCTCATTCAGCCAAAATGGAAACTCCTGATGGTGTTTCAAAGCCTTCCATCTCCCATCCTCCCGCACCTTTCTGAATTCCTTTAAAATACCACAAAGCACTTTTTCTACTCCCACAAAGACAAAGTGCCACCCACTTCCATTCTCCAGCCTCCCAGGGCTTTGTTTAACCACCTCCTCTCATGAACCAGCCTGCCAGGTTACTTGAATTATACCAAACCCCCAACTCCTGGGAACCTTCTCAAAGACCTCCCTCACCGGACATCCTCACACCTCTGACGTCATCACCACACACCCTAAATTGCATGCCAGGAGAAGCACATATCACAAATGTCCCACAGCCACATCTGCTAAGCCAAAATCATACATCACATTGCAGGAACATAATTACCCTGTGACTAAAAGCAAGCTCGGAAATCTCATCTTCTCTACATTCAGTGGGTTCTGTCTTGCTCACTTACCAAACTACCTCCTTCTAGCAGATTCTGAGAGCTTCTCCTTTTCTAAGAACTAACAAGTCCTCACTAGAGCTCCATAACACCTAAGAAGGTAAATATCTTTCTCCCCATTTCATGGGGAAATAAATGGAGTGAATTATCCAAGTTCACACATCCTCATAGAGCCTGCCTGCTGAGATTCAAACTCAGATCTGTTGACAACCCACACACCAGCAAGTGCAGCCTGTGATAAAATGGATGCACTCAAGGTCAGAGATGTTCAGTAGGTTAGAAAAACAAGGAACAAGATAAAGGACAAGACCAGCGTGGGGAAGCAGCAAAGATGAGCTAAAAGGTAGGCTACCATCAAGTTAAATTGCTGAACTTTTACTAAAAATTGTAGGCATAGAAAGAATGGCTGCTATCAAGAAATCAATCAATAACAAATGCTGGCAGGGGTGTGGGGAGAAAGGAACCCTTCTCCATTGTTGGTGGGAGTGCAGACTGGTGCAACCACTGTGGAAATCAGTGTGGAGATACCTCAAAGAACTAGGACTGGAAGTCCCATTTGACCCAGTTATTCCCCTGCTGGGAATCTTCCCCAAAGAATTAAAAGAATCATACCATGATACATGTGTACCCATGTTTATAGCGGCACAGTTTGTAATAGCTAAAGCTTGGAAACAGCCCAAGTGCCCATCGACTGGAAACTGGATAAAGAGATGTGGTTTTTTTATAAAACGGAGTACCACTCAACCATAAAGAATGAGAAAACTAGAGACATTTATAGCTAAATGGATGCATACTGAGGCCATACTCTTAAGTGAAATAAATAGGACACACATGTGTAAATACCAAATAGTTTTCCTAGTGTGAGAAACTGAACGTGTAAATAAGGATTAAAATGATTAAAATGAATAATTGATAATTTGAAATAGGAAAAGGTCCAAAGGTGTAGGGGTGGTGGGAGGGAAGGGGAAAGGAAAGAAAGGAAAGGAAAAATTCTGAGAAAAGAAAGAAAATGGAAATGAAATCTGTGTAAATAGGGAAGGATGGAAGGGGTGAAGGGCACACAGGAAATGGGGAAAAAAATAAGAACCAAGATACATCATGTACAGGTACAAGCGTCCAATGATAAATGTAAACATATTATATACCTAAAATGTACCAATAAAAGAATTTCTTTTAAATTGCAGTCATTTAACCATGGCAGGTTTTTTTTCCATTAAGTTTATTGATACATTTTAGATATAAAATACAGTTACATTCATCATTGGGATCTTGTACCTTTACATGATATATCTTGGTTCTTGTTTTTTTCCCTTTCCCCTGAACCATGGCAGTTTTTAAGCAGAAATGTACTGTGGGAGAAGAAAGAGTAAAGTAACAAAAAAAAATCTCTGAAACTTGTATGGCTAAGCCCCTGCCTCCAGAAAAGCTTCTCTTACACCATCCAGACCAGGTGGAATGGTTTCTCAGAAATCTAAGCCTCTCCATGCCCACATGGTATGAAGCCCCATGCAAATGCCATTAAGCCTTCACTCAAGGCTCCCTGCCATGGAGCCTCTCAGGACAGCACAGTTGCAGCAGTGGTTTAGTGGGCAGCTGTGGCTCACAAGACAAAGCTTTGCTCTCCAGCTGGACTCTCAGCCTTGATACACAGCCTGCGATTTTGGCGGGAAAGCCCTTGCCTCCCCACACCAGGCCTTAAGTGCACAATAAGTCACATAAAATCTCCCATTAAACCTGTGTTAATAACAAAGTTGAGGGCATGAACCCCTGTGCTGTTCCTGCCATGGGTGGGGCTAGGATCCTGCACACAGATGTACACTGAGCTCCAAGTACACAAAGCCCCAAACCCCTCTCTCTGGGAAGAAAGCACCCCTGGGTCCCATTGTCCCAGGCCAGTCACCCGCTAGCTATGAGGTTGGGAACGTTCTTGACTTTTGCCAGTTCTCAGCACCTCATTTGGGGAATGTGTCACTACCCTGCAGTATGATTAGAAGACCAAGGGAGGATATGGGTGTAGGAGACAGAGCCAACTTCCTGCTTGCTGGAATACTGGCAGAGACAGATGATACGTAGACAGACAAACACAATCTCCCCAGATTTCCAGAAAAGTCTGGAGAGCAGAAGTTCTCCCTCAGCTTCCTCATAACACATTCCTACTTTTGAGATGGCAAGTCCTAATTTCTAGACAGAGAATGAGAAAGACACAAGGGCTGATCAAAATATACAGTGAATGTTTAAATTTTTTTTAATTAATTACAGTAAAAGACACATGGCCATTAATCCCCCTCACAATACTTCCCCTCTCTTTGAACACATTTATTCCAACATATATCGTGTAGGTGTGACCCTGGGTGTGCCTTGGAGGCTCGCCTCCTTCTTTCTCCTATGTCCACCTCTTGAGGTCTGGAGGTCACTGCCAGGCACAGAAACCAAGCTCATGCTGCTTCCAAACTCTTGGTGCTTTGAATGGCTGATGGAAGCATAAGCCAAAAGACTGAGTTCCCCACGGGGATGAGCCATGTCCTCAGCATCTGACAGCAGCTTCTCAGTGTGGAGCATGCGGGTGCACTTGCTGACTGTCACTGAAGTCCACTGACACTGTTGCCTGCATCCTTTGTCAGCATGGAGGAAGCCTGTGCATGGTTTGAGCCTTGGGAAGCAAGATCACATCCACCACATGGAAGCAAGCAGTTGAAATGTACAGAGTTGGTCAGATTCCTAATGAAAGGTCACAGAGTCACCATCCCATCAGCCTTCAGGGCTTTAGTCTTCAATTCAGACAGCTAACCTGGATTGGAGACACAACACAAATACAAAACCATGAAAGGTCAAGGTTCCTAGCCATCTTCAAGACCAATACTCTTATTTTATTGGTGAGGGTGGCAAGTCTAGAGAGGGTGAGGACTTGCCCAGGGCCAGGAAGATGGCAGAAGAGCAGCACTGGGATCTTGTGGAGTGGGGGTGTCTTCACACTTCTCACAGGACAGAAAACAGAACCACACAACAAAGGAAGACTTGTAAAAGTGGAGCTTGTGTTGCCTTGGTTGTTTGGTTCAAACGAAGAGGAGTGTTAGGCAAACTCTCTAAGGAGATCCAGGCTGGGGGTCTTCTCCCAGCAGAGGGGGCCCACAGCACCAGGCTAATCCACAGTAGTCAAGCAGGGCTCAGGTGGTGTCTAAGCAGCTTTGGTTTTCAAGATTAAGTGGGCAGCAGAGCAGAAAGCAAAGTAGATGAGGCTTCGAAGTCTTGCCCACAGTACCACACTGCTCTCTGCAGGCCATCCTGAAGAAGGCACCCAGGCTGACAGGCTAAGTCAGACTGCCCCAGGTCATGGACAAGTTGGTTCCCCTGCCTCCACACAGGGCAAGCCCTCTCCAGGTTGAAACACAGACAGGGACAGGAACAGGGCACTGCCCCCGCCCTTAGCAATCTGTTCTGTCTTCAAACAGCACAGGCCTCCCTCAGTGCCTGACCCAAATCTTCCTCCTGCTGCAATGCCGTCTCTGTCCCATCTGCCCTCTGAGGAGCCTGAGTCTGAAGCCAGGATTTAGAATGTTCTAGAAAATAGAGAAGCCTTGGATGCTGCCTGACTTTCTGCACCTGCTCTGTTGCAGAATAAGTTGATTTCTCCAAACTCCTGTGTCTTTTCTAGCCCATAGAGACAGTCTCTGAGTGGAAGGAGATATTCCCAGCCTGAATGAAGGAAAGAGCCCAGGCCTTTCAGGTCTCAGAGTTGAGCCAGGAATATATGACTCTCAGGAGGTCTGACACCAGCTCCATACCTGACCTGAGACTAAAAGGGAGACATCCAGAGCCTGATGTACAATACCCCTACTGTACCACCTCCGTGCACCCCCTTGCCAATCTCCAGCCTTTCCCTGGCTGTGCAGTTCAGAGCAGGGCACCATGCAGCTGACTGGCCAGCCTCCAGGCGTGGGTTCAGGTCATGCTCCCCATGTGCCCTTATGCAGACCCGGGAGCCACTGCAGCCGGCCAGCCATGTGACGTGAGTGATTCACACACACAGATGCCCCAACCAGCTCCCCCTTTCTTCCTCTCTCAGGCCATCACAAAGGGCACAGTCTCAGCACAGAGCTGCATTGTTCCCAGGGTCAGGAGGGGCTGGAAGCTGAGGGGAATTAGGAAGACAGGCAGCCAGGCAAAGGGTGGTTTTCCATGCAGCATACGCACCTCGCACAGGCCAAGCCTGCTTCCTGGCCTGGCTCTGGCTCTGGAGCTCAAGTTCACATCTCCCTCCCTTAGATCCTGCTTCGGTTTGGGTTCTTGGCTTCTTTTATTTCCCACTCTCTGCCCATGTGCATTTCTCTGAAGAATATGCACGTGCTGTTTCTTTTTTCTTCTCCAGTACACATCATTCTTTAGAGACTAGAAGATAAATCAGAGTCCAGCAAACTCTTGTCTTTTGGGGCATGCTCTAACCTTCCTCTTCTGTTTTCTACCCCCAACCAAACACAGAACACAGGCAGGTGGATGTGATCAGGGTGGAAATAAGCAAGGCCAAGATGGGGGTGGGGTGGATAATTATGTGTTAAAAGTAAAGACCAGAACCTGCTTAACCTTCAGTAGAGTGAAGAGGAAACATGGCCAAGACTGAGGCAATTGAGAATTTGGGAAATGACTTCAGTTCTGACTCTCTAATTATGAAAATATTCAACTGAACATTGTTGTAAGTTTCTAGCAAATAAACACTTGACATTAGCAAAGATTTTGGAGGCCAAGTGGTCCCATTCAGATCACCTGAAAGGTGGCAGGCAAGTCAGTCTGTCTCATGGCTGAGCAGCTCAACTCATTAGAAAGTACTTTCAAAAAACCGGTCAAAATCTGTCCTCTTGTGCCTGATTGTGGAAATGGCACCCTTCTCCACTTCTTGTATCCATCCCCTTTGCACGTAACTCAGCAGGACTGATCTCACAATTTCCTTAAACTAAATATGGTGTCAGGCCATTACCAGCCTAGGCCTCAAAGAACCTCAGATCTTTCGTGTCTCTGAACCATGTCACCAGTGTGAAAAGACTAGGGCAGCTTGCTCGGGAATGAACAGACACAGGAGGGAGTGTGGAGTCTCATCACCTTTGGCCCTAAGAGACCAGACAAGCCACAGCCCACCTGCCAGCTGACAGCAGATACGTGTGCAAGCCCAGCTGGCTGGCTCTCCACATCATAAACCAAATAAATGATTGCTGTTTTAAGTCAGAACTTTGGGGTACTTTCTTATGCAGAAAAAAGTAAACTGTTGTACCCTGTAATAGCCCCACAGGCTACACTTATTAATCCTGGTCCCCTGTCTGTGGGGACAGCCCTTTAAATATTGAAATAGTTCTCATTGCGTCCGCACAATGGCTCCTGGAGAGGTCCCACAGATTGCCACTTCTTTCCCATTTAGTGCCAGCCCTGGAGCGGCAGCAGAAGGCTTGAGTCAGTGTCAGCATCTCCCAGAAACGTCTTGTCCATTCTCCAGGGCATGCTGACAGCCCCAGCACTCCAACAGTCCAACCTTTCCAGAACATTTGATTGAACATTAAGAGAAACTGAAAGACTGAGGTGAGGAGGGCACTAAAAGCACAATGAAAATACTTACATCAATTAGGCTTCTTGAAGCCACTTCTGACCCAAATCTAAACTGCCAACAAAGTCTCCAAAATAAATGCTGTTGGCAGGCTTCGAATGGAGCCCTGGCTCTGCGGCCCGCAGCAGTGGGAGAATGGTCAGAGGCTGCTGGCTTCCAGCATTTGCCACGTGGAGCACACAGTAAATGCACTGAACTTGGTCTTGGGATCTGTTGAGGAAGGTCACCCCACCACCGCAGGAGACAGAGCAGACCAATCGCAGCCTCGGCTGGGAACCAGACCTGAACGGAAGTGGTGTGGGGAATGGCTACCCTCGGCGGATGTGCTGGCTGAAGCTTCTGTTGCAGTTTGCCAGTTCCAAACGAGCCCTTGCAGCTTGGCTTCCTGTTTTTCATTTGCGCTCTCCATGTGTCACAGCGCAATTATTCTGGGAGATGTTCTCAAAATGGACACGGTCTCCAATTTTCTTTCCCTAATAACAGTGCAGGAAATAGGGGTGAGGGAGGCAGAGAAATAGGAAAAACCCCAAACCTCAGAAAAGGATGAGAACACTTCTAAACGCAATTTTTAAAATGAGAACATCAAAATCACCAAGTCAAAGCACACAACGCTCTTCTATCACCGGGCGGGTGAGGGAAGCAGAGAAACTTCAAAAGGAGTTGGAAATTTCCCTCTCTGAGAGCCTAAAATCGTCAGCATAGGATCAAGCATCAATGGCCAATTTCGTGAGCCTGGACCGACACTGTCCACCAGCAATTATCTTTCAACCACTTAAATGGCTTTGGCCATGGCTCAAAGCAGAACAAAGAAAGGGCAGCTCTTCCAGCTCTTTTCTGTCTTCTACTGGACAAATTTATTGGGCCTAGTCTCCCAATTCATTCTTATTCATGGTCATGAAAGAAGCTTGAAGTCTAGAGTGTGCATATTTAAATTGTTTGGAGCTGTCTTGTTTTTGGACTTTGGACTGAAATATTTGTGTGTGTGTGTGTGTGTGTGTGTGTGCGCATGTGTACGCATGCCTGCCTGTGCTCCATGTGCATGTGTGCAAATGATTGCACTGTGAACACGAGTTTACCTAAATCAATCCTTACCGTGTAAAATCAGGACAAATGCTAGTGTAAGCCCACAAATGTGCATACTTCTTGGCCAGTATGTGCATGAAATTGCACCTCTCTGTGTGCACACACGTGTGCTAGTGCATGTACAGGCCACACATGTCTGCAGTCTGTGTCCAAGGTGGGGCCCGTGGATGTGGGTGCCTGTGACAAAGCACACCTGGTATGAGTATGTGCCCGACCAGGCAGGCTGGGCCCTGGCCTGCTCCAATCTCCTCCTCCCTCTCTGCGAGCCCAAAGCAGCCTTTGTCTGTCTGCCTCTGGGATCTGCCAGCTCATGGCAGGGGTCCCCCCGCCAGGGAAACAAGACTCCTCCCCTGCTCATTTGTGTCTCCTCAGAGGGCTGACTGGCCTGGAGTTGCTCCGGGCTCAGACCCTAAATGGCAGGCCATGGTCGCAATGGACGGCTTCCTTAATTGCCCGTGATGGTTGTGGGTGCAGTGCAAACAAGACGGCAGCTATTAGGCTTCGAGGCCTGAGCAGGGCTGCATTTTGCGCCTGTGTGAATTTAGTGTTCCTGAGAGTTGAGAGGCCAGAGTGGGTTAGAGCCACTGAGAGCTGCTATTATGGCCTGGCACAGGCTGCTTTACTTTTTGAGACCCTGAAGCCATTTCACCACACTCCAGAATTGCAACACTCCTCGAATGTCCACAGCTAGGCGCCCCGGGCAGTAAGCCTCCCCTTTCCTTCACCCCAACACACACACACACACACACACACACACACACACACACACACTTCCCTTCTCTTCTTTCTCTTTTTCCCCTATTCTCTTACTCTTTTCTTTCTCCTAATTTTTCTCTGTGTCTCTCTCTGCTGTAAGACTTTTCTCTTTCTCTCCAATCTCCCTCTCTCTCTTCCTCACTTTTTCTGCCTCCTTCCTCTCCTCTCTCTTTTCCTCTCCTCCAGCTGCTTTATTTCAGCAGCAGACTTAAAGCTGGACAATGCCCAGAGTGTCACCCACCCCACCATGGCCAGCTGCCCTTTCCCCCTCTCCAGCCTCTGCCCACAGCCCAGTCTCTCCTTTTGGTCCTCATTCAGTCTGCTTGTAGGTCACAAGAGGGAGATTTGTTATGTGCACTTATGTCCAGGGCCTTGAGGGGGCTGGAGTGGTCTACCAAAGGGCCTTTTAGTTTCTCCTTGCCCTATGAGTACCTGCTCCTTCCCATAGTAACCATGGTCATCTCCCTCTTTCCTTCCTCAGTGGTTTCAGCTCACATGGAGGAAACAGCAGATCTGAGATGGAGGGAAGACTCAGGGAGGCCCAGGAAGTCCAAGGGAGGGTGCCTGACTATAGGACTCCTTCAGGTCCTCGCACACATAACTGCTACTCTTCAGGCACAGATTAGAAGAACATAGGCTTGAATCCTTCAGTTGTGGCATTTGAAGGAATTTGGAGCAATCACAGCAGACTCCCTGATTCCCTCCTGTTGGGGTCAGCTTCCCATTGGACAAAATACCTGACACCTACAATTTTTAAAAGGAGAGGTTTATTTTAGCTCACTATTTCAGAGGTTTCAGTCCATGGGAGACTGGCTCCAAGGCAGAAGCATCATGGCAGAAGGGCGTGGTGGAGGAAAGTTGATCAACTCACAGCATCCAGGAAACAGAGAGCCGGGAAGTACCTGAGAGGAAGGGGCCAGGGACCAGATAGAGTCCCCAAGGTCATACTCCCATGACCTCATTCAGCTATGAACTTGTCAGTGGGAAAGCCATTGATGAGATGCCTTTGAGTCTCTTCATCCAGTCAAGTTAAAAATCAAGACTAACCAGCACACTTCCCAAACTGGGAGAAGTGGGCCAGGAAACGGGTGAGACCCTGCTTTATCAATGATTTGAGGTGCCCTCGTTCAAGTAATTCATCAGAGCATGTTGCCTATTGCAATGAATGTTCATGGATGAGTGAATGATGATTCAGTGAATGAATGAATGAATGAATGAATGACTAGAAGGCTAATGGATTACCCTCTCTGGAGATTTTTGAGGATGAAATCATCACTAAGTGAGTGATTTCTCATCAAAATGAGGGGGTGATATCTGTAGGGCTCTCCACCAGGAGAAAGTAACAGACCTCTGATAAGTCCTCTCCTTTGCTGCACCCATTTCCTGGTCTGTAAAATAAGTGTCCACCAGTGATTCAAGTTGCTCTTCTCACCATTAAAGTCTTGAAAATTAAAGAGCTGTGACATGGTGAGGTTGAAGGCATTTCAGACTCAGTTTTCATCCCATGGACACAATGTTCTCTGAGGTCATTCATCCCAGCCAGGACTATAAGGGTTACCCAGACAACCTGCCCAGCCTGCACAGTGCAGCTGGAAGAGGATGGCACCAACAATGCAGATGCCCAGGGCTACTGCCCTTCCTGTCTTATCCCCCTTGTTCGGTGTGGGGGGCACTATCTGACTGGTTGCTGTGAAGGAATGCAAGTTTAGCTCCCTCACTTCAGGATGAGACAAACTCTGAGATATAACTTGTAGTCTGTCACTCTTCTGGTTGTCTTGCTGTCCACATAGCTGATCCCATGGCCTCCCAGCAAAGTGAGTGAAAGGAAGCACAGTCACCAGCCAGTGCCTCACAGAGGCCACAACCTTCACCAGCAATCTGGGGTTGGAGAGTACTATTCTGTGAGGCCATCTGTGGGAGCACAAGGCCCAAGCATCTCAGACTTAATCAGCCACAGGAACACTGGCCCCTGCCTTAGTCACTCTGAGAGAGAGCCTGAATCTGATGGCTGAGGAAGCTGGAAGAAAACTCCATGGGTCTCAAACCCAAAGTGGATGCCCTTTGTCCCAGTCAGCTCTGTCCCCAAAGCCAACAAGTTTAAATAAGTTCCAGACAGTGTCTATGCTGGGAGCCCAAGGTTAGAGAAAGCTTCATGCGCCTACCTTCTGTCACCACCAGAGCCACTGCAGGAACAGGCTTCAAGGTAAGAGGCAAAGAGGGGCAGGGCTTCTCCTGGAGAGAAAAGAGCAAGAACAGGCTGATCTCACAGCTGAGCTCTGGGAAGCTCTGGCCCAGCTCCACATTCCAGCATTACCAGTCCTTGCCTACTATAAGGCCACAAGCCTAAGAGGTCAGCTAAAATGCCAAAAGCCAGTATTCAAGTACCAAACTCTCATCTCCACGCAGCTTTAAAATTAACTAACCAGACAACAACAGGGATCTGTAGCTCCAGAAATTGAGATGGGAAGAGTAATTCAGGAAGGTGGTAGAGTAGTGGTTATGATCACAAAACTTTGTGTCTGACAAACCTGCTTTTATAGACCCAGCTTCTGAGCCCCCTGAGTGTGCAACCCCAGGCAAGTTACTTCACCTTTCTGAACCTCAGTTTCCTTGTCTAGCCAATAGGGATGGTATAAATGCCCACCTCATTGTGTTGCCATGAGGATGAAATATGTCCAACCATGTAAAAAGCTTAGAAATGTGCAAGGTATGCAGTAAGTGCTCACTAAATATAGACTGTTATTATTGTGGCACTGACTGGAGTAGAGCAAGGAAAGGGGAGAGCCTGGGTTGTGAGCATTTCCTGGATGGGTCCCTGTGAGAGAAGAGCATACAATGATCACCCAGAAGAACCAAGGCCAAGCAAGCCAGGGAAGAGCAGGTGGATGCTAAAAGCAGACCGAAAAGGCCATCAAATCCTGTACCTCCTTCTTCTCTTTTCTAATTATTGTTTCCATTTGATAGATGACATAAAGGGAACTCAGCTGATTGCATGGCCAGACCCCATACAGCTCAGATTTCAGCACAGGCTCCTGTTCCTCCACTCTCTCCTCCACTCTTTGTCAGGACTGGATCCCTTCCCATCTGGGATCTGCTGGGGACAGGATGTGCCCTCTAACAACCCCTTTCCAGCACAGCTCAGCAAACAGCTGACTGCTCGAGATCACTGGGGTCCTCCACTCCATGGGACCTGTGGACACATCCTGAAGCCTGCACCTCAAGCCCTTGATGGATGAAGGCCCATCAGAGTGATGTAGCAAATTATATAGGACCTCTAAATGATATAGGGGAAATATTATAACTCTCAACCTACTAGATATCTAACACACTGAGTTGGGTTCCTCAAAACTGAAGAATGAATTCTAAGGAAAAACAGAGGTTAAGAGTAGGAAATATTTATTGAGGGGAAAGATACAGCTCCTGAGAGGTAGGAGGGAACCAGAAAGTGGGTTGCTGAGGACCCTACCTCCCAGAGCAAGTTTTACAGAGCACAACCACATGGGTACAATGTGGGTTACAGCTATGATTAACCAATAATAGTATAAGTAGAGTCACTTAGGTAACATTCATCCAATGGAGAAGCAAGTCACATGGCAAGTGTACATGGAAGGAACAAAGAACTTTTCAGGAAGGGATGAGTCCAAGGGTCTTGGTCACCCACCGAGGTGACTGATGTCTATCTAGACTTCATTAGACCAGGTGTTACCATTTATCTTAGGCCTGGTCATTTCACCTTTATCTTGAGGCCTGGCCTCTAACAGATGTGCCTCCAGCCACAGTTGTAATGTGTTTTTGTCTTTGTCCTGACTCTCTTCAGGGCCTAGCCCTGTCTGATTGCCTATAATATTTCTGCCTAGCTTAGCTGTCTATAATATTCCCCTCTGTGAAGAGGTATTTCTAACTGTCTTGAGGGGGAAAGGAATGATGACCACTTTGGCTACTTTAGGCTGAAGGGGGTGGTAGTTGTGATTGGCAGTCAAAGGCACTCTTGAGAGGGTCTATCTAAAGATCCTCAATAGACATCAGGCGTTCTGGTCTTAGGTAGGTACATAGCTTTAAGACAAAGCCAAAGAAACAGTTAAGTATGTATGAGCCAAATAATAAGATCAACAAGACTATTATGAATACAATCGACAAATGTTTCCACCAGGAAGAGCCAGTAATAGCCTCCCACAAAGAGAGTAAGGAGAAGATCCAGGGAATTTTAGAATCTGACATGGCTTTAACTTGCCATTTAATATCAGCCACTGAGATATTAGCAGAAGTATCAGGAATGTACACACAACATTTAGCTTTTATGATTGCACAAGTACCCCATTGCGCTGCTATTAGAATGTCTAATGCCATCTGATTTTGGAGGACAGCTTTTCTCATTAATTTTACTTCTTCATTTGGGAAAGGGAGACTAGTTGAGGTGTTGTTTAAAGCTTATTGGGTATAGTTAGTTAAGGTCTCGATGTGATACAAGACATCTTCTAATCCCAGGGAAAGGACAAAGACAGAAGCCAAATGATCATACCAATGAAACACACTTCTAGACCATCAGTGTTGTAGATGGGGTAAGTTTATACATCTGTTGATATTTTTGACACTCCTGCCTTGTAGCCATACAAATCCCAGCAAGCTTTTCCCTATCTATCCAGGGGGTAGCCAGGACCACAAATGGGTTCCATAGGACCAAGGAGTGCCACTGGGGGCTTTTCATCTAATTCTACAGTAATTAAACCAGTCTGTTGTAAACCAGTTTTTGATCTGTAAAATTGTGGTGTGTATATACTGTTTGAAGGATGTCTACCTCAAGTATTTAATAGAATTAGGCCAATGGGAATAAGAGTGTTTTTTGTTGTTTTCAACATAAGGGGAAGGGCTGGGAATTTAGCTCAGTGGTTTTGCCGCCTGCTGCACAAGTGCAAGGACCCAAGTTCAATCCCCAGTACCAAAAATAAAGAAATCAAAACAATCAACATAAGGGGGCCTTCCTATTAAATTTTCCTATAGTTGGAGTTAACCACATATAATCATCCCATATCTGAAAGTAGCTATTTTTATATCTATAATTGTTGGCTCTCATGATAGGACCCTTATTCTTACTTAGGGGTTTTGCTAGTGTCTTCACTAGTGTAGAGGGGCTTTAGTGACATTTTTTAAAAATTTTTTATTATGTCCAGAATCATTAAGGGTGTAGTTTATAGCCCACTCCATTTTTGTAATGGTGGTCTAAACTATGAATCACTGAACATTTTCATATCTCATCATGTAGTCTCGTAGCTTATTTTAACCATCTCCTTGAATTGGGGATACCCACTGAGAAAGTCCTGATGTACTTGACAAGGGTAGCAGGCCACATATCTAGCAAAATGTTTGTTGTAACAACTCTGCATATTCTTGTGCCCAGACTAGAAAAGAATTGCAATCTCCCTTAAGTGGTAAAGTAATTAGCAAAAGGGCTAAGAGTAGACCTTAGATCAATTATATGAAGACTTTTTCTTCTTTCTGAACAAAAATTTTAAGTCTTCTATGGGTTTACAGGATCAGCTGGGTGGCTGCTCACACTCAGCAACAATCTCTGGTTCCCAGGGCTTGAATCAGGTGTGATGTATCCAGGAGTCCAGCCCCGCTACCTTGACAGCTGATGGAGTTCATAGGAGCATGGTGTATGGTCCTTCCCTAGATGATCCTAGGGAAGGTGATGATGAGGGAAGAGACTTTACCAGTACTAAGTCTCCAGGTTGGAATATGGGATTTCTCTTCTCTTTAGGCTGAGCTTCTGTTAACTGTTGAAGAGTCTGTTGGGATTTACCCAATGAGGTGATATCTTTTAGTAAAGTATCTGTTTCTCTATCAAAGAGAAAATCATTAGTGAGAAAGAGGCATCCATAAAGCATTTTAAATGGACTGAGGGCTACAATTTGAGGTGTATTTCTTATTTTGATAAGAGCCAACAGTAATAAGTGAGGCCACTGTAGGTGGGTTTTTTGAGCCATTTTGTGAAGTGCTCTCTCTCTCTCTCTCTCTCTCTCTCTCTCTCTCTCTCTCTCTCTCTCTCTCTCTCTCTCTCCATTGTGGCCTCTATGTACAATGAAAGTGATATAGAATATCCAGTGTCTGAGAGACACCCTGTGTGACTATTGTGATTATTGCTTCAAAATAAGGCCCATTTTTACTCTGTAAGCTCTTAGGATGTTCATATCTGGGGATGATTTCTGAGACCAAAACCTTCATCATCTCTTGTGCTTTCTTTGTTCTATACAGAAAGGCCTGAACCCAGTTTGTGAGGGTATCTACCTAGACTAACAGGTTTTGGAGTCTCTTACTCTTTGGCACATGAATAAAACTGAGCTGCCAATCTTCTCTAGGGTATTTACCATGTTTCTGTATACCTGGAGGGACTATAGTCCAGTTAAAGGAATTGTTCTTTTGGCAAATCTCACATGTCTTAACTATCTGTTGTATTGTTTGAGAAAATCTCTTTCTATTAATAACTTTGGTGGGTCCTATCTCTTCTCAAGTGAGAGGTTTGATGAAAGACTTAATAATATTCTATTTATTAGCACCAAAAAGGAACAACTTATCATCAAGTGACTGTGACCATTCTGATGAGAGGAACTGATACCCATGGGAGAGAGCCCATTCTATTTCTGACTGAGAACATTGGGTCAAGTATGATTAAGGGACCCTTCCCAGATCAGGAGAGCCTGAAGGAGGGGCCCTTGAGCAGTTTTGTGGGTTTTTTTGTTTTTTGGTTTTTTTTTTTTTTTTGCTGCTGTGTCAGCCAGTTGATTACCTTGAGATACTTCATCAACTCCTTTTTGGTGTCCTCTATAGTGAATTATCCCCACTTTGGAGGGCATATGGACAGATGATAAAAGTTTATCTATCTCTTTATGATATTTTAGGAGAGCCATTGGCTGTTAGATAATTTTTTTCTTTCCTTATGGCTGTGTGGGCATGCAATACTAGGAAAGCATATTTTGAATCAGTATAAATATTAACTTTTTGTCCTTTATTAAGTTGTAAAGCCTTGGTCAGAACTGAGTTCTGCCAGTTGAGCACTAGTCCCAGGGGCAAGTGAGGAAATTTCAAGTGTCTGATGTACAGTCACTACTGCATACTCTGCCTTTCTTGTCCCATTCTCAATGAAAGAACTGCCATCACAGAAGAAGGTCAAATCAGGGTTAGTAGGAGGTGTGACTAACTAGTCTTTTCTGTCTGCATATGTATGTAGAATT